AAAAAAAGTCTTACTCCCAAAACTGTCATACCAAAAGCACACATTACAGATCTAGAGAAAACAATCTTAAAATTCAGATGGAATCAGAAGAAACCCAGAGTAGCAAAAGCAATTTTGAGCAATAAGAGAAAAGGAAGGAACAATAATATCTGGCCTGAAGCTATACCACAAAGCAACAGTGATTAAAAAACAGCATGCTTCTGGAACAAAACCAGGTACATGAGACTGGGGATATGGTTCAATGGCACAAGTGCCTGCCTTGCATACACAAGGTCCCAAGTTTGATTCCTGATATATATTAAAAAAAAAAAAAGCAGTACAAAAACAGATACATGGATCAATGGAACAGAACTGAGAATACTTCTCCAGACACAGTGAGCTACCTGACTGAGCTATTCAACCAAAGAGCCAAAAGCACATGCTGGGGCAAAGACAGCCTAGGCAACGAGCGGTAATGGTAGTGGCAAATGGCTATCTGTGCACGAAGATTGAAATGGGACCCTTATCTCTTGCCATATACTGGATTAAAATGAAAATAGATTGAAGATCTAAACATTAAAACAGAGCACAGTTCCTGTGGTTCCATCCCTGGGTGAGCTGTGGTGGCCCCACTCCGAGGGCACGAAGAGACATCAACTGAGACTGGGCGTGGTGGCGTGCCCCTGTAATCCCAGTGCTTGGGAGGCTGAAAACAGTCAATCCATGTGATGAGACTCTGTAGATCCTGTGCTAAATACATTTTAAAAAACCATTAAAAGAGAAACATGAATCCTACTGGAAAATAAACTAGGTAAAACACTTAAAGACATAAGTATGGGAAAAGATTTTCTAAACAGAATCTCAGGGGCTAGGGAGATAGCTCAGAGCCATAGGCGCCTACATGGAAAGCATAAGGACCTGAGTTCCATCCCCTGCCTGCATGTCATGCCAGCTCTAGAACCAGGCGTGGTGATGCTTGCCTGTAATCCCAGCACTGCCCACCTGTAATCCCAACACTCAGGAGGTTGAGACAGGAGGATCTCTGCGAGTTCAATACCAGCCTGGGCTATAAAAGTGAGTACATGGCCAGCTTGAACTGCATGGTGAGACCCTGTCGAAAGAAAGAAAGAAAGAAAGAAAAAAAGAAAGAAGAAAGAAAGAAAGAAAGAAAGAAAGAAAGAAAGAAAGAAAGAAAGAAAAAGAGACAAACGAAGAAAGAAGACTGGACGTGGTGGTGTGTGCCTGTAATCCCAGCACTCATGAGGGTGAAAACAGGAGGATCACTGTCTGATCTGTGCAGTAAGACCCTGCAGACCCTGTGCTAATTATATCTATATCTATATCTATATCTATATCTATATATCTATATCTATATCTATATCTATATCTATATCTATATCTATAGATAGATAGATATGAAAGAAAGAATACTACTCTGCCAAAAAGGATAAGCTAAAGAAATTCCTAGGTAAATGCATGCACCTTGTATCCATTTACCGTACTGTTAAGTATAATAGATGGAACACACAGGTGTAAATATCACATGCTTTCTCTGGTGTGAGAAACCCAAAGTATAAATAAAGACCAACATGTATAATAGATATTGGGAAAAAAGAAAGAATGTGTTCAAATGAGAAGAGGAACAAGGGAGAGGGGAGGAAAAGGAAAAAATAATAAAAGAAATATAAAATGGAAATAAAGCTTTTGTAAATAACGTTGGGAAAAGAGGTTGAAAGAGGGCCAGCCAGATAGCTCAGTAGATTAAAGTGCCTGCTTAGGTAGACGCAGGGACTAGGGTTCGATCCCGGCCTGCCATGCCAGCCCTGCCCTCGGGGTGCACTGAGGCAGTAGATTGAGACTAGGTGTGGTGGCACATGCCTGTAATCTCAGCGCTTGGGAGGCTAAAAACAGGAGGATCACTACAAGTCTGATCTGTGTAGTGAGACCCTGTAGACTCTGTACCAAATATGAGAGAGAGAGAGAGAGAGAGAGAGAGAGAGAGAGAGAGAGAGAGGAGGGGAATAGGAAAAAAAGAATCAAGATACATCATGTACAGGTACCAATAGAATAAAATAAAATTTATCAATAAATAAGAATGACAGACTTGAGATATTTGTAGGAAAATGGATGTACTTGGAAAACACAATTGTGAGTGAAATAAACCAGACACACAAGTTTGAATAGATATGGCATCTCTCATTTGAGTGAGGCAAAGTATAAATAAAGAGAATAATAAGGATGGATAGACAGGAGCTGAGGAGATGGACCTCTTGTGATAGCGAAGGGGTCCCAGGAAAAAAGCATGAGGGGTGAGGAAGAGGGGAAGGGAAATAAATAAAGTAAAATACGCCACGTAAGGAGCCCAACAACCTCCGTGAATGTGAGCACTACATGTCATGTGAGCGATGATGAATAATATCAACAAGAATAAAAATGGAATAGTGAATCGAAGAAGGGATGGGGAGCGACGTGTTGGGGTTAAAAAAGAAAGAAGCTGGAGTACGTATAAGTAATCACACCTCAAGATGACTATAAACTGCATGAATTGCAATCAGGTACTAATAAAATAAAAACTTCCTTAATAATCCAAAAAGTTGAAACTCTACAGTTATCAGTAAGCATAGTCAAGAGTTGGATCAAGTGTGAATTAACTTTTCCCACCTACAACCATTTCATTTCAACAAATTGGCACTAAGAGAAGCAACTCTCTTATTTCTACAAAAGGCCTCGGACTTGTTGACCCAGTAAACTGAGGTGACACTTGTGCCTTAAAAGCAAAACAAGTCAGGCACGGCCTGTAATCTCAGCGCTTGGGCACACGCCTGTAATACGAGCACTGAGGAGGCTGAGATAGGAGGATTGCCACAAGTTTGAGGCCAGCCTAGGCTATCATGGAGCTCACGGCCAGCCTGAACTGCATAACGCAACCCTGTCTCAAAAAAGAAAAAAGCAAACAAACATCTATAGAACTATAGAGTGGAAACGCGAACAACAAGAAGGTCTCACTAGGTAGTTCAGGCCGGTCTTGAGATCACTATGTAGGTCAGGCTGGCCTTCAACTCACAGAGATCCTCTGGCCTAAGCCTCCCAAGCATGCCACCATGCCAAGCTTTTGAGTGGTAGGCTCATAAGTGTGTGTCACTACATCTGGCCCTGCTCTGTTCTGCTCACACTCTTTTTCCTTTGTGCTGTGGTTGCAGCTCGGTGGCAGAGCCCTTGCTGGCGTGCACAAGGTCCTCAGCCCAATCCCCAGTACCATAAACATGTTTTTCTTTTCCTTCACTCTCATATTTAATATACTAGAATCTGATAAGGTATATGTTTGATAAGTCTAATAATAAGTCCAGGAAAGGCCAAAGTGAGATACAGGTCTTTCTGACAGTTTCAAAATCTGCAGAGTAATCAACTCCTATGATCCGAGAGCAACAGTGGGACAAAACAGCAGCACTAACTAAGAGCAACACTTTGCTTCTCCCCCCGCCACATAATTTTGTTGATAAACAAATAGCAATGAGACAGTTTCAAATCAAATTGGTAGGACAGTTTCAATAATTAACACACTGCATACATTCTTCCTAGTGGTTAATTGCTGTACAAGATGCAGACATGATATCCTATTTACAAACACTATTAGAACAAATCATTCTATTCATTAAGAGAATGTAACTATATATCTATCCACTTTCAATACACAGATACAAATTTTTTTTTTTTTTTTTTTTTGTGGAACCAAGGATTGAACTCAGGCCCTTGCGCTTGACAGAGAAGCGCTTATTCCACTGAGCCATCTCCCTGGCCCTCAATACACAGATACAAAATGGGCATTCATCTGTATACCCTTTTTTGTTAAGTTCCGTCATTTGAATATTATAGGTGTGTAAACTCAGCAAAATATTCTAAAAGAGTCCAGTAGACCATAATAGTATTGGGTCTTCTGCTTGGCTGGCAATGTCAGAAATTGTGAACCTGAGTCCCCTATAGCTCAACATAACAGCATGGCTTTACTTCTTATATTTCGTTTTTATACTTTTCTGCTGGATGGTTAAGGCCAAGGTAAAGCAGGACCTATGCAACAAGAGTTGTAGCTTTTGGGTCTGATAAGGTCAGTGAAATCCCCTCAGGATTTATCCTGAGATCCTGTACCTCAGATTGTAGAACCTTTATCAGTGTCAGCCATGTGGATGAGTCACGGCCGTTGCTTGGCCAATGTGCTCTCTGTGAAAGCCTGAGAGAACTGTTTTCTCTCCATGTGACTCTCCTTAGGCACACTCTACATCATCTTATCACTTTCCTCTTTGGCCCCATAATCTCCTTGATCAGAAAATTTGGAACACTTCTGAGTTACATGACGTTACAGTACAAGTTCTCATATGTCCTGAGTCTTACTTGACCTTAGAAGGCTAAGGCCAAAATGTTGACTTTCCTTGCAGCCCTCCTTTTTCTCTAATTTTAGTCTGCAAACTTAGGTTGTTAACCATCCAGAAGACAAGCTTATTGTTGTTACCATACAACTTAGGCTGTTAAGCTTAACCTCACTATCTGTCTGCATATCAATCATCTTAGGCATAACATAGAACAGGTATTTTTCATCAAGTATTGATATGTTGAACTTTAAGTCCCTACAGAATATGATAAAAAAAATTTAAAAATTAGAATATATTTTAAAATATATTCTAATATATTTACACATAAGTCCAAAATATATTTACACATAAGTCCAAAAATCTCACCATATACAACCTTGAAGCAGGACAGTCCCACAATATTCCTTTTCCTGTCTCTTGCCTTCATTCACCACCCCCTTCTTTTTGAACAACACTTTCCTTCTTAAGTTCAGGCATCACACGCTAGCAGAACCCACTTTCACCTGCTTACCTCTGAAAGTATTGATGAAACTCACCAAAGATAGAAAAACTCAATTTTAATAATTTCAAACAACAAAGGAATATCTGAAAATAAACATGAGTAAGACATAAGAAAGAGGGTACACCTAAGGCAGGAAGTTGTCATGCCTTCCTGACTATAAATTGCCAGGGTCTTCATTCTGATTTCTGCAACCACTGAGGAGTAGAATGAGGGGGTGGTGAAACCAAAGGCCCAAGCTCCCCTCAGCCAGCCAGATTCAGAGGCTGCCTGCCAGACAGGGCTCCTTTACTCCACCTACCTTTCTCTGTGGACAGCTGGATCAAGATTTTTTTTTTCTCCTCCAATTCAGCATCCAGCTGATCCTGCAGTTGAGAAAGCTGCTGCCACAGCTGGTCCCCTGTGAGCTCACTGCTCCAGGGCGGCTGCTTGCTACTGTCCAACACGCTGCAAAGGGGAGGAGGGCGGTCAGCCAGACACTGGAAGGCATGTGCTGGGACATCTTTTGTGCACAGTTTCAGCATCTCCTCGGCCTAGTTCAACCCTTAGTGCTGTACATGTTTCGTCTGCTGCTACTTTATTTATAACTGTCACTCACCAACTGCCTTGGAACTTCTGGGTCCCACCAAGGAGCTGCTCAGAACCACTTCTGCTTAGGTCTTGGGCAGCTCACTGGGTCACAAGCAGCCCAAAGGGCCTTCACTCTGACAGGTGGGCGCTGTGTATCAGACACATCCAGAATCTTCCTCTTTCGCATTCACCCCTACCAGGGCTGCTTTATAGACAACTTGCCTTTGAATTAGATTATAAATTGCTATACTGCAGGGGAATGAAATTGTTCCACAACCACACCCTCCATTCCATCATATCTAGCTTTTGGGCAGAGGTGAGTTGTTTTGTTTTGAGTCACTATGAAGTCCAGACCTCAAACTCATGGCAATCTTCCTGCCTCAGCCTCCCTAATGCCTGGACTACAGGCGTTTGTCACCACACCTAGGAGGCTTGTGTTTTATGAGACTAAAACACACCTGGACCTAAACACACATTGTTGTCCAAAGCAATTCTGGGCAACAATGGCTGAGCAAGGGGCAGCACAACCCCCAATTTGAGGTTATACACAAAGCTACAGTGATTAAAAAAAAAAAAAAAACAGCATGATTTTTGTAAGCTTTGTGAGGAAACAGCGAGAGACACAGCAACATCATCAAGGGAGGCTTTTTTGGGGACAAAATGCCAGGTGGATCTTTGAGGTGAGACACACCAGAGGTGTGGTGAGCTGGGTTTCTGTAAGGTAGGGCACTAGAGCCTTTAGAAAGGGGCAAAGTTTTCTGCACATGCTCAAGAGCCAGTTTGAACAACAACAGACTGTGCAAGATTAAGATCTCAGTATAGTAACACTGTGGCTCAGGACCGGGTGGGGTTGGCCTTAACAGCCTGGGCATGAGCTGTTTCATTTTTTGTGTATGTGTGAGGACATCTGGGCCAATAAAAACATAGCAGGAATTGTATAATACAGAGGGGGTTGGGTGTATTGAAAAAAAAAAAAGAAAAACACAATTGAGCAGCAAAATAGAAAATGCTGAAACAATTCCAAGCACACTCAGCCACCTTATCTTTGACAAAAGGCATGTTCAAGCACGTTCACTGGAAGAAAATAGCCTCTTTAATAGATGGTGCTGGGAAAACTGGCCTTCCACATGCTGAAGATTAAACTTATACTTGTATCTTTCACCATGCAGTAAACTAAAATTGAAATGGATCAAATGTCTAAATATTAAAACATTTAATCTTGTGGACAATAGAGTATGTAAAACTCTTGAAGACATGGATATGGGCAAAGACATTATAAACAAAACTCCAATTTCACAGAAAGAATCAACAACTGGTATCATACCAAATTAAAAAGCTGTTGCACAGCAAAAGAAACCACCAACAGAGTGAAAAGACAGCCCAAAGAATGATTAAAAAAAAAATTACCAGCTACTCAGACAAAGGACTATTATGTAGACTATATAAAGAACTCAAAAAAAATCAGACCCCCTAAATTTAAAGACCCAATCCAAAAATGGTCATCTGAAATGAATAGACATTTCTCAGAGGAAGAAGTAAAAAGAGCAAATAAATATCTTTTTTAAAAGTTCAACAACACCAATCATTTGAGAAATACAAATTAAAAGAACACTGAGATTCCATATCATTCCAGAAAGACTATCATCAATCAATCAGTCAATAACAAATATTGTTGGGCTGCTGGGGGAAAAGAAATCCTCTCCATTGCTGGTGGGAGAATAGATTAGTGCAACCACCACAAAAGCAGTATGGAGATTCCTCTAAAAACTAAATCTATTTTCTAAAGCACAAGGTTCTGAGTTTGATCCCCAGTACTGCCAAAACACACATACACACACACACCAAAAGGAAAAAAAAAAAAAACACACTAAATCTAAAAGTTTCATTTGGGGCCTGTGGGATAGTTCAGCAGACTAAGCACCTGCTTAGGCAAGCACAGGGACCAGGGCTCAATCCCCAGCACCACATGCCATGCTGGCCCCACCCCAGGGCATGTTTGGCTGGCCACTGAATCCGGGTGTGGCGGCGCATGCCTGTAATCTTAGAGCTGGGGAGGCTGAGAACAGGAGGATCACCACGAGTCCAAGCTGCCTAGTGAGACCCTGCACCAAATACATTAAATACATTAAATAAATAAATAAATAAATAAATAAATAAATAAATGTTCC